GGATGATTATGCTCAACGGATCCCACCTGCTGCCTCTCTCATCCAGGATTACCATCTTCGGGTAGATGCCGCCATGTATTTGACAAGACCGACTTACCTTACCAAGGCAGGTTGTTCCAAGTTTTCGAAAGTTATCGAGTTTTTGATTCGTTATCAATCTCTTATCTCTCGGGGTATGTTAGAAACAGCAAGCCACACGGCTTCTATCAAGTACGACGACGCTCGCGTCAATTCCATAGACACGCCCAATCTGGCTTCGAGATATGGACACAATCGTGCGATCGCATGAGTCGGGCAGTCAATATGTATTTACCCCACACTCAGGCGACTGGGCAATCTCATACGATTTCGAACTATAACTGCGGCCTTAAGGTTGGGGCTGTATTTAACTCCAAGATTCATAGGCATAAATGAGAAAAACAAGAACGGGATCAGGCAATAAGGACGGACGCTAAGGTTAACTGCAATGCATTCGTTCTACAGATGCAGCGTTACGGAAAATGTATAGAAATCATTTAAAAGATTGATATTTGTAATGTTCTCTGAATATAATCTATGTGAACATCACCGAAATTTGGTTTTAGTTTTATTCTGTCTATTCTTATCGATTTAGTCTGGATTTTTATAGATCAATAGTTTATATGAAACAGCTAAACGATCAATGAAGTCGGATAGTGATATCAAAAAGATGGATACCCAGCAGAAGGTATTGTTGTCAGTTGTTCCTCTTATCTTTGACCTTATCAATTTCTTAGGTTGCTCTCTTTTTTTTCAAAGAAAAGCATAACAACAGGTAATTGGTGCTTGGTTTATTACGGGATAATGACGTGTTCATGGGTCATAGAAAGCATTCGAGGGGTGAGAGGTAGGTATACGGGAGTTTCATATAGTCTATTTTTTATATGACGTGTTCATTGGTCATAGGGATAGCATTTGAGAGGTGAGAGGTAGGTATAGGGTAGTTTTATAAAAGCATCTTTTCTATAACGGCCCAGTTTTATTTGTTCCAGTTTATTTTCTTCAAGTCCGCGTTCGATGATGTGATCTCGAAGTTGGTAAATGAACTCGAACCATGTATACCACCGCACGTCTGTAGAGATATTCCCATAAGGTAAGAATATGCACAGAAGCTTCCGGTGTAGTTATTTCAGTGTAGTTGTTTTGGTTCTTCTTAATGTAGTCCATCGGAAATTTCGGTGCTTATGGTGAATTTTTTGCTCTTCTCTTTTTGTATCTCTTCCGATTCAGTAATGAAGGCTGATTTCAGGTTATTTGTTGTGTTTTGGATGCTTTCTTCGTACGATATTGAAGTACCAACAGCAGCTTATGAGAGGGCCATAGAAAACATTCGGCGACAGATGAAGGAGGCTGCGGATTCACCTGTGATGGTAGGTGCAGCGCTACTTGTTGTTTGTAAAGTACGCCGCATTATTGGTTGTTTAGTCTTTTGTTGGTTTTTCAAACGTA